AAGTGCAAAATGATGATATAAAACCTTGATAAAAAATACACTTTTAAATACTAATCACTTGTACTAACACATCTTCAATTATTCCTTTAGACACCTTTACAGATTTATCAATAAATAAAAGAGTTATAGAAATTAGTTTTAATTGACCTAGATTGAGACTTTTAAAAACTGAATATGAAAATAAATTCACACTAACTCCAAGATCAAGTAAAGCTTTTTCAATTTTGTACTCTCCAATAAAGCATGAAATTGTAAGACAACCTTCTTTATATTTCAAAGCATTATTGTTTTGAAGAATGACACTTATTTGTTCGGCTAAAAAGGTTTTCCTTTTCACATTCAGTTTTCTCTTATGGTGCACAAGTTTTTCAAAAAATTTGCATAAGAAGGTACATGTTTAATAGCATCCAATAAAGGTATATTGATCCTTACCTGTTTGAAAGTTTCAAAGATTTCAAAATTATGATTTACTTTTCTTTATTTAGTCATAGTATAAGGAAATGAAAATACTGGTAGGGAATTAGTTTATTCTTTGCAAGGTTTTGGTTTAACCCTTTCCTTACCTCCAGAGATTAAGTCATCATTTTTCTCATAAGGTTAAAGAATAGGTTTTTCAATAACCTTTTGATTAGTACTTAAAAGTGCATTTTACACTTGAAATATCAATAACTCCTTAATTAAAGCATGTTTTATAATATCAAGTCTGATATTATGAGATACTTTCAATTTATGATAAATATTCATCTTAAATGCAGGCCTATCACATAAATCAAATGATTAATTGATGAGTTCAACTACTAAAATTGAGAAGACAAAGAGATGGTGAAGCTTATAAAAAAGATGCTGGTTCAATCCAAAATGGAATACTGTTAAGTCATTAAGTCATATTTGGAGCTATAGATCTTGGATTTAAATTTGGTTTATATAGCTAGAAGTTAAGACATGGGCTTAAAACATTTATGAGTAATGCAATACTCAATCTTGCTATTTAGAAGTTCAAATCTTAGCAACAATTGAGAAGTCAAAATCTGTCCTGTAGCCCAAATACTGTTAAGTTTTCAGCCTATATCTCGAGTTCTAAAAGTCCAAATGACCTCAATTTTTTTTTTTGGAAAGCTAAGACAATTTCCTAGCACTTTTATGAATCAAGTCTATTCAAATTCTGATGTTAGCAATGATGTTTTGTTTAGATAAGAAGATAAGATTGTCACCGAGTCAAGATATGGCACCCACTTAATAAATAGTTAATAAATCAATATTTTCTAATTTTGACCTATAAAAAGAGGCATTTGTCATGCATTTAGGCATTTTAGTTTTCATATCAAAATCAAGTTCTTGCTATTTCTTTATTGTAATGCTTAAGTTTTGCTTATATTAATCTTGTTTATGCTTCTCATTTGCTTTCCTTTACTTAATTAACTTTTATCTTATTTATATTCTTAACTTCTTTATTTATGTTTCTCTCTTTTATTATATTTAGTTAAGTTTATTATGTCAAGTTGAAAAGGTTACACTAATGACCTTGATAATTATTTTATCCTTATTTAACCCTTATATTAATTTTACATCTCAAAATCCTCTTTAATTCATCATCATCATCATCATCATCATCATTTATAATTTATATATAAGCTCCTTGTAGTTCGACCCCGGTCTTGCCAAGTTATTTATTACTTCAGCACTCTTACACTTGAAAGAAGATATCAATCTTTTGGTCATGTCACCTTCCCATTGTAGAGAGTAGTGACTTATTTGTCTTGATCTATGTGTTGGCTTACAAAACTACTTGCACTTGAATTGTATTGCCATTTAAGATTTTGCTATAGTTGAAATGAAAATTTACCTTTCTCCTAAAAACTAAGAGCAGATGTGAATTTTGTAAGAGTATTTTTCAAATCTATCATAGTTTGAGCATTTTGAATGTTGATTATCTCTTACTTTTCAATGAATGCATACAATGTTTCCATAAGATTTTTTCTAGGAGGAAGAGCATAAGAAAGTGTATATCCATGAGAATTTTATTACTCCATATGGACTGGACGCGTCCATGCCCACCCCACATTGGGTCTGGACATGACTGCGTCCATACTATGTTGGACCTGGACGCGTCCACATCTAACCCCACGTTGGGCCTGGATACGATCGCGTCCACCTCCATGTGCCCCTACCCAACCTCATGTTGGGCCTGGACGCAACCATGTCCATCTCCATTGGTACTTGGATGCATCTATGTCTAACCTCACATTGGGCTTGGAAGCGACCGCATACACCACCAAGTTGGACCTAAACACATGCATGCCTAACCCCACATTAGGCCTAGACATGATAACGTCCACCTCCATGTTGGACTTGGAGGCGTTCACGCCCAGCCTATATTGGGAATAGTATTATTTATGTTATGAATATTATTATTTTTACTATAATCAAAAGTATTATTATTAAAAATATTATCTTTTATGTTATAAATGTTATTATTTTTATAATAATGAATATTATTAAGAAAATAAAAATTAAAAAAATTATTATTAGTATTGAAAAACTGTCATGAATTTGATTTAAAATATAAAATTAAAAATTATCATCATTAATAAATGTTCAAAAACTATTATCACTATCAAAGAAAAACCACATGGGGACACATGATGCTTGAGTTGCTTGCTCGTGTGTCAACAGACTAATTGCACATATGACGCTTGGGCTACCTGCTATGTGTTGGGCAAATCTTAATGCACACGTGGTGCTTGGGCTACGCCAAGATCTAACTATTCTTGGATCTTGCGGCTGCAGAACCCAAAATAAGCTTGAATCATTTGCCATGCATGACCCAAACTAGCCATGGATCTTGCTTGAATCAAGACCCGAATAAAAAATAAGCTCGTGGCATGATGCGGGCCATTTAACTAGTTTATTTCTAATCAAATCTCTCGTCTTTGATTATTTTTTACTTGCAAACGGATTAATCATAATGGTATTATAAATATTCAAATAATTTATCGACTTTAGTTTTTAAAATTAATCCTCAATCTTTAGTTATGGGTTAGATTTATCTAACCTTTTATTTTATAAAAAATAAAAAATATTATTTAAAAAAATATTTATTTACCTAGTTTTTTTAGAAAAAATAAAAAATATTATTTTAAAAAATATTTATTTACCTAGTTTTTTTTTTATAACTGGTTGTGAATCAATTCAAGTTTTTAACTAGATTATTCAAGTTAATTTTTTTTTTGTTAAAACTTAACATAATCTAAATTTTAAATCGCCCGAATTATAAGTTAATTTACTAAATTAATTTAAATTTTATTAAAATTCAGCTTTATCTAGACACTAGAATACTCGAGTTATTAAACAACTTATTATTTTGAATTTTGAAATAGTGCTCTTCATTATATCAGCATATATATTTTTTTCAAAATAATTTTTTTAATCCATCTCTTTATCTACAACTTTTATTGTTTTCTTTTATTATCTTAAAAGAAATAAAAAGATAAAATAGCAAATTATAAATGAATTAAGAAGATATAGAGAATAAATACATATAGTTTTTTAAACAAAAAGGACTTATTAATTATTAGTTTTATTTTAATAATTATTAAACTACAGTGGCGAAGTTATAGCTGAGTCCTGGTACTTGGGGGTTGAGAGAGAGAGAGAGAGAGAGAGAGGAACAGAAACAGTGGAAGAAAGAAACGTTTCGCTCGATTTTCCATGAAAACAGAAACAAAGACGGGTAAAGCAAAAGCAAGATTGAATGATGGGCAGTGTAGATTTGTCAATATAGTAGTAGTTGTAGCTGTAACAGAAGAAGAGTAGATCCGAAATGGGTTGGGGATTGGGGGCCATATTTGAAGGAATAGTGGTGGTAGGATCACTGTTTCTATTAGGATGGGCAGGTCTTTGGTTCTTAAACAGAAGACTCTACAAAGAATACGAAGAGAAAAGAGCATTGGTTCAGATCATTTTCAGTGTTGTTTTTGCTTTCTCTTGCAATCTCCTTCAACTTGTCCTCTTCGAAATCATCCCTCTCCTCTCCAAACAGTCTGTAACTCTAACTAATCTTCATTTCTTTATTGTTTCTACTTACAAAAACTAATAATTGGGTTTTGTTTTTTGGGGTAAAATGAAGGGCAAGATGGATAAATTGGAAGGTGGATCTGTTTTGTTTAATATTGTTACTTGTCTTCATGTTGCCGTATTATCACTGCTACTTGATGCTTCGCAACAACGGTATGTATGTATGTATGCGTGTGTGTGTATGTGTGTTTTTTTTCTTTGTGCCATCGCATTGATGAATTTGTTTTGATACATACATGATGTATATTTTCAGGCGTGAGGAGGGAAAGGGCTGCACTCGGAGCCATCATATTCTTGTTTGCCTTTCTCTATGCTTTTTGGCGCATGGGCGTTCACTTCCCCATGCCTTCGCCTGATAAAGGTTCTTGTTTAGCCCAAATGAGAATTCTAGTTTTCTTTTGGCTCCATAATTTCTATTCTCTGATTACTCCAAAGATGGGAGTGAATCTACATTTCCCCGAGTTGCTGTTTATTTCCCTTTTTCTTTGCTACTTCTGTCAACTTTACCTTATTGTTACTCTAAGAATTCACTTATTGATTTGGTGGTTCAGAAGCTTACCTGCATTTTTTGCTGCTTTTATGCTTCATAATTTCATTTCCAGGTTTTTTCACAATGCCTCAGCTAGTCAGCAGAATTGGGGTTATTGGTGTCACTGTTATGGCTGTTTTGTCTGGTTTTGGAGCTGTGAATCTACCTTACAGTTATTTATCTCTCTTCATTAGGTAATCAAATAAAAGAATACTGGCCAATGTTTCTTTCTACAAGATTTTTATACCATTTGTGTGGCTGTGTGTTGGCACTACTTTTTATCTTAAACCAGGTGCATCCTATTTACATTTTTCTAACCAATTTGCTGATTAACTGGAAAAAGAGTTATTTTACAACACATCTTTTAATTCTTGTGGAAAGAGTTTGCTTTGGCTCAAATTCTTCTGCCAGTAGCACCTCCATTCTTCTATAGCCAACATTTTTATATTACATTACAACTGTCTTTGGATAGGCAATAGTGGTGGAAGTATAAATGTAATATGTAGCTTTGTTAGAGAATGTTAAGGTGCCAGGTTATTTTACGACATGTCTTTTAATATCAATATAGAGTCATCTGTGTTGACAAAGCAAGTGAACATGTTTATGATTTGCAAATTAATCAGTGAAAGGCACATAGCATTCACCTATTTTTTCCTTATGCAAGAATAACTGAACCCTTCACCGATAGGATGTTGCATGATTAATGAATCAGCATAGTCAGATATACTGCAGGGTGAGAGACAGACCAGAGAGTGGATTGAACATCAAAGAAACATTGTCAACATATAATCACATCTGGACAAGAAATGTGGATGAATATCAGAAATGGCAAAAGAGGACGTGTCTTAGTGTAAATTTTGCATTAGAGAATAGGTTCATTGGGTTATCTGCAGTATTATTTTAAACCTTCCTCACTTCCTGTGGATGGGATCATGCCTTAGTGTTTTTATGCATCGTCAAATTTAAGGTTCATTATTGGTAAGAGTTGGTAGGTGGGAATTCATTACACTGGGAAATCACAAGTGGTGGAAGTAAGTTTTGCTGGAATTGAGCAAAGTATCTACTGCACTCGATACAGATTTGCTCTTCCATGCATGCTAATATTTCAGAAGTGTCAAAATTACACTTGAGTTTGCTGCATTATGTACAGACGATATATTTTAGATATTCACTACTTATTATTGTGTGACATATAAAAAGTTTTTTAACCAATTTATTTGCTTTCTTTGTACCAAACAAGAAATTAGATATTCACAGCATATTATTGTATGACATGTAAAGGGTTTTTATAACCAAGTTGTCTGCTTTCTCTGCACCAATGATATTTCATGGCTTTGTCTACAAGCATTGCCATGTAGTTTTGATGCTTCACTTGGCTATATTCTTGAATAGATTTATGGAGGTAAAATCATTCAGATTCTTTCACTGTGTCTGTTGTTTATTCAATTATGTAATTGCTGGTTTTTTGTTCTAATGACTGGATATGTTGAACATGATAGAGAAATTGGGGATTCAGAGATCAAAGCCTTGGAAAGACAATTAATGCAATCCATTGAGACTTGTGTTGCGAAGAAAAAGAAGATTGTCCTTTCTCAAATGGAGATGGAACGAATCCAGGGATCCGAGGAGGTTTCTTATTTTGCTATTTTTCTTCTTACTTTCTTTCTTGTGCATTTTCATGGCAGTGTTTCTGTTTCCAGCATATGGTGGATATCAGGTCTTTAAAAAATCAATATGCTTGGATGAGATTTGATTTTCATTGTCTTTTTTTCTTAAAATCAAATTCAATTTCCAATTTACACTCCACTCTTGCTCAATGTCTTAAAGTTATCAAAGCATCTATTGCCTAGGGAGACATTGTGCTTGATATATACAAATTTTATTGTCTACAATACAATGCAGTTTTTTATTATTGAAGTAAAGCGTGTTTGGTATTGTGGTAGTAGTTGCTTTTCAAAATGCTTCACTTGAAAATGCATTTAAATAATGTTTTTTTTTTATTTTTTAAAATTCATTTTTTATATCAACACATCAAAATGATCAAAAAGCATACAAAAATTAATTAATTTAAAGCAAAAAAAATCAAAATTTTGGAAACGCGCGGTCAGCCACATTCCCAAATACGTTCTAAATCTGTAGAGAAAACACAGAAAAACTTATCTTATTGTGAGAGGTTTAAACTGGAGCAATCAACACCTATTGCACAAATAATTGTGTTGAAAATTTACTTTCTATAAACAGTTCTAAAGTTGGGCTGGATAAAACACATTTAAAAGAGATAAAACTAGAAACATGGGCAGAATGTTAATCTATGTACTTCAGAAACAAATGTGTTATTAGGGAGAGCATAGCTATTTGACTGTGTATAAAAAGACATTATAATACATGAATAAAAAAGAGAAAGATCTAATTTGACATGTATATCAAACAATTATATAATGCTAGGGGCAGAATTGGATAGTTGTCACTCCACTTGGTGGTTGTTGAGAAAAATGTACAGCAATGTTTAAATGACCTTAAAAAATTTGTGCTCCCTTCCTCAAGTTGTTAAATCTTAGAATCATAATTCAGTATCAATCCACATACGAGGAAATTCTTTTAATACCCTAAAGGAGTTCTAGTGGATAGAATATATGTTTTAGGGAACATTTAAGAGATAACTTGAACTAATTTTGCTTCATCCCGTTATCTTACCACTTATCAATTACCTAAATTATGGATCTCCTTAGACAAAAAAAGCTATTTCTAGACTAGACATAATGAGGCTGGTCTAGACATTTATATTCCTCCAGGTTTGAGGAAAAAGTGTAAATTCTGCTGCAACCTCTTTTCCCTAAAGTTCCGACTTTGGGAAAAAGCACTTGTAGGAATTCTGCATGGTATTAATGACCAGGTGACAAATAAGGTATTTGGTTTAGGCCCAAACTAGATGCAAAACTGAGTTTGCTGATTGTCTCACTTTTTTATGACATCATTTGGCTCACCATCCTATTTGCCCATGTGTTGGCAAGTTTGCAAGTACATGCACTCACTCTTGCACATGAATAAACATGTGTATATATATTTATAGCAACACGCCTGCCATCATGTTTTATGTGAAAAATATTTTCCCCCTTTGTTAAATATTTTAGACCTTATACTTTACACATGGTTTTTATCACCATCAATCGTTAGAAATCCTAGTACATAGACATTCTCACTTGTGGTTGTACATTGCAGAAGTTAAACGCTAGATCTTTCTTCAAACGGATAGTTGGCACAGTTGTACGATCCGTGCAAGATGATCAAAAGGAGCAAGGTAACAGTCGCTTTACCACTTCTGGCCATGATAATATTGTTTGATATGTTTTTATCAAGTAAATATCGAAATGAAAAGATATGGTTTTCCCACAGGCTAAGAGTTTTTTTTGCTTGCTACTTTGTTTGTATTTACTTTCAGTGGTTATTAAATTTGTGGCTATTTGTAATCTCATGATGTTTCTTTTAATTGTTTAGTTAGTTCCATTTATTATCTAGATATCGTGTACAAGTTATTACAATTGTAAGTAAATGTAATTTTAGTGAATTGGTGATGAAGATTTTGATCTGCAAGGTGGCTGAAGTTACTGAGTAATTCTTGTCTTAAAAATCTTCATGCCTTTTCTGCTTGTGTATAGTTGTGTTCACATTTTTTTCTCCCCAACATAGCTTTGGAACATGGTTTTGTCATTGTTGTAGTCATACTCTTAACCTCTAGTTATATCTTGGAGTTGGAGCCTAGGAAGGGGAAATATATCAAAATGAAGCTCAGAATAAAAATCGAAGAATGAGAACGAGAGTTTTGCCTTTTTTTATCTGTAACCATGGGATGTTGTTTTAAATACAACAGTATTAACTTGAGCATATCTACTGTCACGCCAGCACCAGCACCAGCACCACCACCACCACCATACAGCTGCCATCACCACAACCAGCATGACCCCCACCACCAACCCCCTATCTCACCATGCTGCCAGCGCCACTGCAATCCCAGTTATATATCAAACACAATGATGGCCTTTCATTAACTATTCTCATTAATCCCCATTCCATCTCCCTGTTTCTGTATCCATTCACATTTTTTCATCTCTACTCCATTTTTTTTCATTCCAGTTAAAATAGGACCTTAGATTTTTTAGTATTGTAATGGGTTTTGTTTTATCATCCATGATATAATCATTTAACTTTTAGTTTGTCCCCAAGCTTCTTATGATTCATAGTTACAGAGTGCTTTTTTCCCCCTTTTCAGATATCAAAACCATGGAAGCAGAGGTTGAAGCCTTAGAAGAGCTTTCAAAGCAGCTATTTTTGGAAATATATGAGCTTCGCCAAGCTAAGGTTCATTTCTAGTATATTCTCTTTGGCTCTAGCAAATCTAGATCATTCTCAATTTCTTTCTAGCTCATGGATGAGATATTTTGTTATTAAATATGTGGGAGAGTTATTAGATGGAGTTTCAGAAGGTCATGACCGTTCTTGAGAGTACATTAAATGACACTCTGATGTCTAGCAGGTCAAACTGTGACTTTTAGATATCTTGATTAAGACCTATTAGACTTGCCGAACTTTAGAAGTGATGAAAATATGCCATTTCACAGCTGAAATTAGGGTGTTCTGAGTCTTTGATTTATTTTGGTCTGAATTTGGAGATAGGGAAAATAGTAGTCAGGTTCGGAGAAAGGAGTTTGGTCACTTGAAGAGAGGGTTTTATATGTGTGTCTTGATAATGGGGTATTTATATGACTAGGTGGATGTGTTAAATTATCTCCATTTTAACAACAACAACAACAACAATGAACATGTTTTCTGTAATCTATGGATTTCTCTATAATGGTTTTTTCCCCCTCTTTGTGAAAAACCAATTTTTATATCTATGCTTCCTTTACTTTGCAGGAGGCAGCTGCTTTTTCTCGAACTTGGAGGGGTCACATGCAGAATTTACTTGGCTATGCATGTTCTGTTTATTGTGTATACAAAATGATTAAGGTATCGGTAAAACATTCTTTGATGGAAGAATGAGGATCTTCTGGATGCCTTTTGTGTGTGCACTGATTCATGCATGCCAGTGTGGCAATAATATTTATCTCATGTGATATTCAGTTTCCATTGTGTTTCTCCCTCGAAATAAAATTGAAATGAATAGTAAAAAAAACCCTCGCTGCTCATTAATACTCATGTTTTTTAGGGCTATTTGCGTGTGCTGGGGGGTTGAAGACAAATGTTACCTTAAGGTCCATTAAAATTGTTTCAGATAAGTGTATTTATTCCTGGGTTTGATTTTTTAATTGGTTGATTTCCTAGAAAGGATAGATTTGTGAGAAGAGTGGATAAATTTTGATTGGTAAGATTTTCCCTAGGACCTTAGCAAATCCCTCCTCACCCCTTAGTGCTTGAACTAAACCCAAAAGTGTGGCACCAATTAGGGTTTCTTTTTCTTTTTTAACCCATAAACAAGTTTCCAATACTCGTAAGATTTATCTTTGGACATTTAACAAGTACTCAAGACATTTAAGATTTGTCTTCCTTGAGAAAAATGCCTGTGTGCAGTGTATAAAACTGAATTTCATAGTCGACAACAAAATTCAGATTACATTTTTGCTCATTGCAAACTGCTGGTATTATTGACACAACGAGTCTTCTTTATTGCCAATTTTGCTTCCACTTCCAATTTCAGAACCCAAGCATCAACCAATAGCCATACCTCAAATCTATGAATTTTTTTTTTAAACAAAAAATCTCAATCCTTCCTTTGGTTGTGATTAGTTTGAGTTGTCATTTTTATGGACTTTTGAATCCATCAAATTTTTATTTTTATGAAATTCTTAGTTGTTCTGAATTATTCATCAAATCTTGTACCCATTTAATGAAAGGATATTGACCACCCAAAATTTTTATTTTATGGACACAATGTTCAAGAAGTGCTTTTTGAAGATCTGAATTTGAATTGCTCTTTGACTGTGTGAGTTGAATGAGTTCCAGTAATGGGTTTGAAGCACCAAGCCCATAATGATTTACTAAATTTATGGATTAGCAACTAATCAAAATCCTGCAGTAATGTCATTAAATTCAGTTTCTGGTCAAGTGGTATCAGATTTAGGGAGTCGCTTTTCTTGATGTTCTACCTTTTCTCATGTGAGATGAATTGTTATGTTTTCTGTAGTATGAATGAGAGATTAGTGGAAGTCTATCACTTAATGTGAAAAAACTAAGTTTTACCTCCTATAACCAAAGAAAACAATTGATCTGTCATTAAATTACAACCTGCCATTTTAGTGAACACAATAATTTTCTTTATAATTTATTTTACTGTTTTCAATTCCAAAATTTTGTTGAATGTGATGTTATAATTTTTGCCTTGGCAATGTAAAGAACTTTTTTAGCTGTTCATTAATATGCCTTTCCTTTTCTAATTTCAATTCAATGCATGAATAAAGTTAGGTGACTGATTACTCTATTTGCTTGGTGCAGTCTTTGCAAAGTGTTATATTCAAGGAGGTAAACTCCTGCCTCTAAATGATTCCTTCTGTTGACATGTTCAACTTTGTAATTCAATGTATGATTTCAAATCCTAAATCATTTCACACCAACTCTTTTACACAATGCTTATACAATATACTCTTTTTACAGGCTGGCTCAGTTGATCCTGTGACAAGGACTATTAGCTTATTTTTGCAGTTCTTTGACATAGGAATTAATGCTGCATTATTATCGCAGGTTGGTTATAAATGTTGCTTGTAATAGTAAACATGTTATCACTTGCATGTTACCCTTCACTGTTCAAGCTCCCAGCATGTGTTGTTTGTGACCTGCATCCTTTTGTAATGATTAAAGGTTATCAATGTATTTTGTTATGTTTTGTAGGATCACTAACTTAATAAATAAAGTGACATAAGTAAAATTCCAGCAAGACAGAGCCACAAAGTTAATCTATCAACAGTTGGGTCAGTGATGCATTGCCAAAAAGGTCTGAGTTTTATGGTAGGATTTTAGGCAGTTTGTGATGCATTGCCAAAAAGGTCTGAGTTTTATGGTATGATTTTAGGCAGTTTAAATCATGCCCTTTTGGTGGAGCTAACTGAAGTGAGAATGATAAGTGATAAGTGAACCTTACATGATGTTGAGAAACATGATGTTGAGAAACTGTGGCAATACCAGATAGTAATTTAAAGTAAATTTCTTGGTTTTTAAACGATGAGAATTGGTTTGATTGTTTCCTCGTTATGCATTCTTACAAAATTCAAAGATGATTCTTGCCTTCTACATAATAAGCTGTTCGCTCATGGTGGATGCTTTAGATTATTTTAGAAAGCTATATTCACGTGATGCAAATATTGCTTGACCATCAACTAAAGTTAAGAGTGTATTTTTGCATGCTGTCTTTAGAGTTTCTTCTGAAAGATATTTCTGTGAAAAGAATTGTAATAAGTATTGCACGGCTGAAGATGATGTCTTTCATATTTTTATGGTGTACAGTACATTTCCCTACTATTCATTGGCATCTTGGTCGTCATATCAGTTCGAGGATTTTTAACTAATCTCATGAAGGTAATTTTGATTTCCATTTCCTGTTTTGTTAATTTGTGTATTGGAGACTTATCTTGCCTTATTTGCTAATCATGACAGAATTTAATAGGACATGAACTCTTTGAAGAGAGAAATCTACAAGGCTCTGTATTTTTTTTCTTTCCTTTGTTTTATTATCGGATAAGTGAATAAATAATGGACAACAAAGAACCTCTGAAAGAGGGACAAATTTGAGTCCATGCCTTATGGATTACTTAAACTATGAATGGCTTTAATTAGTCCAGGTGAATGCTGAATTCATATTACAAGATACTCTCCAAACTCTATGAGAGCCTGTAATGATAATGATTATCAACTAGACTTGTTGTCCTCACCAGATCAAATCAATGCACAAGCCTAAAGTAGTGGAGTTTTTTTTACTTGACTGCTACAGATGCATGCCTAAGTTGTTCTCAACTAACTTTTAGCAATAATCTATTGAAGCTGATGGTTTTATAGATGGCAAGTAAAAAGTAGCTTATCTTAGTAATTAACATATTTTGTTTGGCTATATGCAGTTCTTCTTTGCCGTTTCCAGAGTTGGGAGTGGATCTTCAAGCAATGTTGTACTTTTTCTGTCTGAAATTATGGGAATGTACTTTGTCTCTTCTATACTGTTGATAAGAAAAAGCTTAGCAACTGAGTACAGGTATGTTAATTGTTGATGAAAGGTCAAATAACTGATTCCTCGTATTAGATTTTGTTAACGATCTATTTGTGATTGTCTCTGTGATTGATTTAAACATGCTATTAATTTTAGCTTTCAAGTGGACACCCTTGCAGTAAAACCAGAAAACTCTCTCATTCCCTATTTTGTCATAATGAAACAATAACTCTCAGTGGGAAAGTTGTCAAAATTGCAGCTGTGACACAATTTCCCTGCAATTACAAGAATTTATGCAGTGCATGATCAGTTCTTTAGCAGCTAGCTTGCCTTTAGCATTTTCCCCTTCTTTTGTATATCTGTGAAAGAAACTGCAGAAAATCTTTTGGATATCAAGTGGAGGACCCAATTTCCTAAATTCTGAAATGTCCTTAGTGCATCTCAAATAGTCTTTAATGTGGTTGCTCAAATAGTCTTGCATTGCCAAAATATGTAATCTTGAAACCCCCAAGTTATTCTTGATGGCTCATAGATTTGCCTGTTTTCAGTTTCAAACAATTTTTGTACTGTGAACTGTTTATGCTCTGCATGTAACCACACATTCTATGATCTTGCTTGGAATCAGATTAGTGAAACCTTTTAGTTTCTGAAAATCTCGCCCATCTGATCTTATTCTTAAATTAAAGCAACTATGCAAATGCAAAGTGAAAAGATAACACAAATACAGATTAGTTTGTGCTACTTGTTAGTTATTTTGTGCTTGAGTCAGCTGCTTTCAAAGCATTATTGATTTTGTTTGAACTGGTGTTTATTGGTAGGATAACCATAACAGCTGTCTTGGGTGGAGAAATTCAGTTTGACTTCTATCACCGGTGGTTTGATGCGATCTTTGTAGCAAGTGCTTTCCTTTCTCTTCTTTTGCTTTCTGCACATTACACATCTCGCCAGGCTGACAAACACCCAATTGATTGATACATACGTTGCGTAAGTATGTGCTAAATGAATCATTCTTTTATCCTGCATTATACATCTCATCCCAAATGTGTACTGTTGGATGACCAGATTTTAAGAAACTACAAATTTGATGGTAGACATTTAGGAAGCTAGAGATTTTCAAGTAGTGTCATAATTAATACACAATCCATTTTTGGTGCCAATGGGTTTGTGTTCTATGCTTGCTATGAGAAAAAAGTTGAAAAATGGCAAAATGCATGAGACAAATCAATTGTTTTCTGCCATCGTGTATTTAAAGGAAGAGAGTTGTCTGTCTTCCTTCCCCAGCACCAGCCCTTTAGTTAGCATTGCCTGAAAAACAGTGGTTGGAACCCTCCTGTGTTTCTTGCATATACAGTAACCTCATCATTATATTAGAGTTATCATGCCGAGTACTCCATACGCAGACCATGTATTTTGCTACTATATGTCTGTCAAGCAGGGAGCATACTCGCAAGATGATGACTACAATCCCAAACTAGGTACCCACTTCTTCAGACTCCCACTCACTGGATTTCCTTTTCATCACTTTAAAGTAACTGGTCCACCTTTGCTTATACTGTTCTAATAAAAAGTTGTTTATGAATAACATATTGCTGCTAGCTGACTGCAAGATTAGGATGCGCTCCAGCTTTTTATCATGAGCACGCTAGCATTCCATGTCTCATATATTCCCGAGGATAGCAAAATTGAAATAAGCTAAAACAAATTTGAGGAACAGAGTTGAGTTGTGTTTTGCAATTCATTTCAATCGTTTGGTCATGTGAGTTGTGCTTGAATTAGTGAATGAATTTGGATAGATTAGTGGTGAAATGAGTCAAACTGAATTCATACACTAATTGCTATGTGAAAGTATTTTTCTGCTGCCAATTTTATCATCATAAATGGGTCATCCAGTCATGCCATTGGTTATTCAATATCACAAATGCAAGACCAGCCAAAACTGTTCTTTAATTGTTTTTGGAGGATACCAGTTTCTGACAGAAAAGTTAACAGTGTCAGAAACGAAGAGTCCTTGGTGGGATTATCTTGACGTCTAGATTTCAGCAGTTTTGCATGAAGGGGCTCTAAAAGTTTCTGATCTTCTTCCATAGTCAATGTTATTATCAAAGCAAATTGATGGAATAGTGCCTAGCATGCAAGAATACATGTGTATTTTGGCATGTCAAGATGATACCGGCTAGTATATATTCTATGGGTAGCGGGTTACTCTGGCAGATTCCACTTATTGCTGAAGGGCATAAATTGTGACTGGAAAAGAAGGTGGAGGCGTGTAGATCACCCCAGCCAAGGATGTTCCTTGGATTCTGCATTAGCTGTGTGTACCACAACTTGTCTAATTAGAATTAGAAAATTTGCGTATGCACGCATCAAAAGAAAAGGACAATAGTACAGTCACCATTGGAGTGACGGTATCTCTATTATTCACACCTATTTTGGTTTCTTCGTAATTAGTAGTGTGCAATGCTCTCTCTCTCTCTCTATATGCACGCATCAAAAGAAAAGGGCAATAGGACAATCACCATCGGAGTGACGGTATCTCTATTATTGACACCTATTTTGGTTTCTTCGTAATTAGTGGGGTGCACGTTATTATTTTGGGATGACTGCAAAATGTTCAAATTGTGCATTTCATTCTGGCACCTTGAAGATAAACGCTTAAGATTACTTTAATGTCTAGGTCTTATGAGATGTTTGACCATCCTCGCTGGGGTCACAGCTTCTTGCCTCGTTAAAGACATTTATAATGTTTTCCTATCCAGGGAGTAATTAATTGTTGACAGCTTATTGCAGGTTAAAAACGATTTTAAGGCGCTCGAGACTGATTTTATTTCCAAGGTCAACAGCAGCAACTCTGTACCACCGTAGGATTTTGGTATGCCATTTGTTGTGTGCATATGATACATGTGTAATGGGAAATTAACGTCGTGGTCAACTTTATGAATGTTCGTGTCTGATTATTATTCCATGAATGAAAATGACACCTTGTGGCCGAACGAGCTGGGGCACTGCCAATCCTGAGCCGTGACTTTCAGCCTGTAGTCAATGATGGTGTTTATGAAAAGTCTGATTTATTTACTTGATTGTTCCTTGATCGAAAATTAGACCTGGGAGCGGTGACTGCCGCCGATGTTGAGGCTTGCTGGTTGCCACTGGATGACTCGTAAGAAATGGCTAGATCGATCACACTCAGACAGGTCATGCTAGCAAGAACTGATTGACATTTGCTGCTAAAAAGCAAATAAATAAATGAGCTTCTACTGTGATGGCATCCGATACCTACTTTGAAAAAGCAAAAACATTAATGAAAAAGCAAAAGAGCATCGAAACTGTCCCGTCCCATCAGAGGTGGGAGGGAGTGAAATTTACGCAGGGGCACCCCATCCCAATCATTATCTTCTTCTGAGGGGACGTACCATGCCCCTTCTGCTAAGAAGCAGTGCAGAGTAGACCCTCCCCTCAAAGTAGGCTGTTTTCTTTTCATTTCAGTGGGGAACAAAAAAGAAGGCGATTCTCCTCTCGGTCAGTGACGGCCGTCCTGCAAATGGAATGTTAAGACCTCGAGGCGGCCATTGAAAGATCTTAGAGGCAAGTACAGGGGTGAAGGGCAGGCCCTCTTTTTCCTCCCAAAAGCAGCGTAATTATCTGGAAACGCTATAATTTCTTAGAACACTCGCAGACAAGCAACCATCGTATGGCATCACTGTCCCGCAGAAAGGACCATGCCCTGCCCTCTGCGGTGGTGAGTTGAAAGAGTCACAAAGAAACAAACCTAAAGATTAGACGGCACACAGAAAATTTATTATTATATTTAGACACTGTCAATTTTATTTATTTATTTTAATGAACAAGGAAAAGGTAAAGGACCTTCTTTATATCAAATTTGTCATCTTTCTTGCAAGTCCTGTTGAGGGTGTAAAGTCTCATTACAAGCAATTCTACCATTGTCGTTGCATTTTTGTCATTGTCAGTTAGTTTTGTTAGGAAAGAAGAATAATTTTTTTAATCTCGAGATACAGCTAAAAGAACATTACATTTTTTTTATTTTATTTTTAAATAAGGGTAATATTACAGAACAACTTCAAAATAGATGACATGACAAGCTATCAATTACACTTTCTTTATCTATACAGAAAGCTACCAGGAACACAATTCGAGTGGAGACATGGCTTCCCGAATTCTCAAATACCTCAATTTAATCGAAAGTTTATAGTCAGCTAATGTCTAACCACATTCACTCTGCACATTTGTCAAAGCCAGAGCTTCTTCTACGATAAGAAACAAGCTCCATCAACCACTTAGGAAACTATACAAGCTTCTTCGATGAAATCAGACCCAGCAAAACTTGTGCAATCTCGAGCACGCTGATCTGCCAAAACTTATACGGCAAAGTTTTCCTCAAAGGCCTCCAACAGCCACCATTCTCTTCGTTCCCTCCAGTAAAAATAAACTGACTTCCATCTAAAATGTCCAGAGTATATTTCTTAGAGCAGCTATAACATGTTCCCATTGAGCCACACCTTCCACTTTTCTATCCTCTGAGCAAACAATCAAGTAACGAGATACTGACTCTGATTCACCTGGAATTCAGACCAAAAAACATAAGGTCCAGAGCCAATCACCACATCATTTGCAAGCCAAGCCTTAAACCTCTATCCGGCAAGATAGGAAGGTATTTAGATTCTAAAGAGGTTTTCCCAGATTTTACTGTTCCCAAGCTCTCTGGACATCATCATCCAGTTATACTCTGGTACGGCAAGTTAGACTACAGTACTACGAGGTTTTCATGTTCTATCATTGAGATGCAAGAGAAATACTCTAAACACAAGCTTCTTTTCAGAATTCAAACAGACTTGTTAGTTTTTCTACACTCATAGTGCTGATCCTGTTCTCAACAGAGCTTTTTTTAATAAAATTCCGCATCAGAAAAATATACCCTCTCTTACCAAGTTTCAAGCCATTGCTATCCACAGAATGGAACAAACATGAGTTTCAAGAAATTAAATTTAATTCCGGGAAGAGAAGGAGCATAACCACAAAAGCAAAGCATGAAACAGCCATAAAGATAACTCCTACATTATGAATGGATTTAAAAAAAAAAAAAAAAATACTATTCAACAACGAAACCAAAAAAAAAAAAAAACAATCCGTGAGGATAAATAAAATCAGAGCACCTCCTCAAAAAAAGAAAAAAAAAAGAGCATAATGAGATCCAGACCAAATCATAAAGATTTTCTAACTTGTGGTCAATTATGATCACCTGATTACCTTTTACAACTCAAATACAGAACGCTACAAATAGATAATTATGGGCTTACAATCACATGGTATCACATGTGTCCAGGTTTACGTCTTGAGAGCAGCCACTTCATATAAAAAATACTGAAGGGTAGGACTGCCTTCAAGTTCTTCCTCTCAAGATCCTGCTTCAGTGGGAATCACATCGGGATAACAATCTTTCATGTGCCATGAAATCAATAAGCATCAAAATAGAAATAAAGTACAGGTTAACATTGTAAAATTCTCGATAAAAATGATAATGACAAAACAAGTGTCACCTTCGCAATCAATTTAACATTTGGTTTTGTCTGTAAGTCAAAGGTTTGCACCAAAGATAGGGATGAAAGAGAGCATTAACATCCCATTACAGCACAGTTTGCCACAAAGGCACCTGCTCGCTCCTTGACAGCAAGAACATTCCATTCTGATGTGCCCGTGCTTCTGTCCTGAGGATCCCAAGTATGGAGCACAATAACTTCACCTTGAGGGCCTCTGTGCCCTCCAATTACCAATAAGCTGCTACCACATGCTTTAAATGCTAATCCCCAGCCATTAGAAGAGTCAGCCCTAACTGGCAACCTCTTGACAACACTCCAAGAATTATTAGTTTTGTTGTATCTCTTGACCTCGTTCGTTGCTTGATCAGCAGAATAAAGCTGATTATTTACAACAGCGACCAGTGGAGGAGAACGCATTGCAGGATGGCCTGCACTGGGAAGAGGGTACATGTTCTCTATCCTCCTCCATGTACTTGTCTCAAGGTTATACTCTTCACCACAACTTAAACATTCTGTCTGGCTTGACATACCCCCAATGACATAGAACTTTCCATCCATAAAAAAGCCTGAACACAGCTTACGGGGCAAGTTCATATCTGGCAATGTTAGCCAAGTACCGACTTCAGAGTTATAAAGCTCAGCAGATCTCATAATGCATCCATTTTTGTCACTTCCTCCAGCAACAATAGCAATTTCGCCAAGGCTGCTTGAACCAAACAAACAACGGGGCAAGTTCATTGGAGGGCATCTGGACCAATCATGGGTAAGCAAGCTATACATCCAAACAGCAAACCCTAACAACTCACGCCCGAAAACAAGTAGCTGAGTCCCTACTGCAAGAGACTCCTTATCTGCATAAGTGAAGCATTCATCACAAGGAATCCTCGGTAACCGCATCCATCTCTCACTTGCAGGATCAAAAGCTTCCCAAGGCATCAAAATACAAGCTAAATAAATCCAGTGTTCAGTGACCCCAAGCTGCCGCCTCACTTTATATAAACACCCACTTTCAATCAATGCTTTGAATTTCTTATTTAGCAACGCCAAATTGGGGTAATCCGATCTGCAACTCGAAGCCAAAATATACATTGCAGCATCATCATAAAGACCAGGCAAGAGACCGTCTTCCGATGCATGCCCATCGCGATTCTCTCCCGTGTCCATAGGTTCATAATCAGAATTCAAAGTCTCCCTCTCAAACAAACCAATTCCAACATTTTCTGAACTGGTATTATTTCTCCCTGATAAAACACGATCCAGTATATGCAAATTCTTCTCACGAAACTCCAAGTCTTGCTCTAAGTTGACAAGAGGCTGCGAAATAACACAATTTTGCAAGCCAACCATAACCGATGAATCACGGCCTGGCCTCTCCACCTTCACTTTTGGTTCCTTGATAACATCTCTAAAAACCATTTTTTAAAAATAAAAACTGTGTTGGTTTTCCTTCGGCTGCATCAATCAATTAAAGCAAATAAAAAAGAAGATTTTTTTTTTTGTCAAAAACAAGTTGTTGATTAACATAAACTGCAACTAACTAATAACAACAACTTCAAATCCTAACAAGTCCCAACATATTGGACTTGACAGAAAAAACATCAAATCTAACATGCGATAAATCGAGAAGCAAAGGCAAGAAAAGCCCAGAAAGGATACAGATCCAACCAAGCAATGAAGTCAAAAGCATCAATCTTTATCCAAAATCAAAATTCAACTATCCCATCAAATCAAACCAATACAGATTTCAAAAAGGAAAAAAAAAGAAAAAAAAAAAGACTTTCTTTGTTTGTGGGTCTCACCTTAAACAGCTGAATTCTCTATCCCACGGATAAAACTGCTGCCGATCAGATCAGTGTAAAGAAGCAGCAGTTTCTCTCACCGAAAAGCACAAATCTCAAGGGTTTTTTTTTCCTCTTTCAAGTAAAACACTCTATACCTTTCTCTATCTTCTATTTATCCAAGGTTTTATTTATTTTTATGATGATAAAACACGAAAAAGATTTGGAGGGAGTATTATTCTTTGATGTTTCTCTCTCTAAAAAAAATAGATAGAGAGAGTGATTGTTTTGAGGAATTTTAATGGTGGAATCCATCCATCCATTGATGTTGTTGATTAATTAATAATAAAAAACGAGAAGAAAAGAAAGGAGAGCAAAGCAAGGCAAAAGGAAGGTGGTTGGTTTTTTATTTTATTTATTTATTTTTAACGTTTTGTTTTTCATGTTTCACTGCCTTTGTTATTTGCTCTCAGTTTCTTTTTTCATCTTTGACCAAAGAAGGAAGAAAACGTCAAGTGAAACTGCCTCTTCTTATGTGCTTCCTCCCTCTTATAGTGATGCGCACGTGCTTCTTATCGCCTTCTCACTCCTCCTCTCTCCTCTCCTCTCCTCTCTCCCGCAAGCTGGATCTTTAGGTGGAAACCAAAGACGTGAACTGCAGAAAGGTTAAGTTTTCAATAATCAAAGTTCCAAATTCTCAACACACTGATTTTGTTTTGTTAGAGAGAGGACCTTGCTCGCTAAAGGGTTTACATTTCTCCTGGTTCTAACAAAATCAAACCATTATTTGCTAGGTTTATGTTTGTAGAAGCTCATTATTATTTTATATTTCTTGAAATTACATGGAACCTGGAATCATGCCTTTCACTTTAAGATCCGTTTATTTTTATATTTACTGCGACTCATGTCTTTTTAAAGCCTAATTCAACTCGTGAAAAGTTGGTGTTTGCTTTCACATTGATGTGACTTTTGCATGAAGATTACTTTTAGGTGTTATTAGGGCTTCCATAAAGATAATTCTTAAAAAAAAGAAGTAAAATATTATAATAATTTATAATATTTAAAAAAAAATTACAAAATTAAATTCTTACCCAACTCAATATTAAAAAAATAAATTAAAAAAATAATTTGAAAAAACATAAAAAAAATAATTTTAGAAAACAAGCAAAAAAATAGAAAAAAACATGTGAAAAAAATTAAATCTCAATATTAAACTCATCTAAGAAAACACTGCAGCAATATATAATATTTTATGAGAAAAATATATAATTATAATTCTTAACCATATCAATATTAAAAAAAATAAGATTAACAAAGATAATTTTGAAAAATATCATGAAAAAAAAAAAGAAAAAGAAAAAGAAAAGGCATGCATGGAAACACTGTATCTATAGTGTTTGATGAGAAAATCTACTATTGTGATTTTCAACTAACTCAATATTAAAAATAATAAAATCAATAAAGATCATTTTAAAAAAAAATCATAACAAAAAAAATCATGTGGGGAAAAATTATAGCAATCAATGGTGTTTTAAAGACAAAAAAACTACAACACTAAATTTTCAACCAACTCAGTATGAAAAAAATAAATTTGATAAATATAATTTAAAAAATTAATTAAAAAAATATGAGGAAAAACTGTAGTAAAGCCAAAATCATATAGCGAAACAATGTAGCAATCCACAGTGTTAAGCAAAAATCATATGGGAAAACACCGTAGCAATCCATAGTGTTTTAAAGAATTACAAAGTTAAAATCTCAATCAACTCAATATGATAAAAATAAAATCAACAAAGATAATTTTGAAAAAAAGAACAAAAAAAAATCATTAAAAAAACCATGTGGTAAAACATTATAGCAATTCACAGTGTTTTAAAGAAAAAACTAAATTCTCAACTAGCTCAATAGTAAAAAAATAAAATTGACAAAAACAATTCTGAAAAAAACAAAAAATAAAGATAATTTTCAAAACAAAGAAAATGAAAAAAAAAACATATAGAGAAAGCCAAAGCTCAATTCTCAATTAGCTCAATATTAAAAAAATAAATTCGGCAAAGATAATTTAAAAAAATATAGGAAAACACTAAAACAAAACAAAAATCATATAGGGAAAACATTATAGCAATCCACAGTGTTATTTTTGAAAAACCTACGAGGCTAAATTTTCAATCAACTTATTATAAAAAAAAATCGACAAAGACTAGTTTGAAAAAAGAAAAAAGTCATAAAAAGAAAGAAAAACCATATAGAAAAATATTGTAGCAATCTACAATGTTTTAAAGAAAAAAACTACATAGTTAAATTCTAAACAAGTTCAATATTTAAAAAAATTAGGAAAGATAATTTTAAAAAATATTTAAAAAAATTAGGAAAGATAATTTTTTTAAAAAAAAAGAAGAAGAAGTCATTTTTGAAAAACAAAAAGGAAAAAATGTAAAAAAAATAAACAAAAGCAAAAAAAAAACAAATGAGAAAAGTTATATTGCTTTCCTCATGCATTTTAGAGTTATTGATAATATTTACTCTGACTCAAGTTTTTTAGGTTCTCACTTAACTCTTTAAAAATTAGCCCTAAAATATTTTAAAAAGCTTTGTATTTATATCTAAAACATGACAGATGCTTGACAACTTCTAATACACATAGTAATCTATATGAATTGTGGAAGATCAACTAATCATATCAGATATAATTTCTAAAAACAACCAATTAACATGACTTCAGACACAAAGTCTTAAACAACTAGTATGACAATAAATCATATGACTATTTCTTTAGCATGACAAACATACAATAATTAAACCAATAAACCTATTAGTGAGTAGATTGATAGGTAAAAGAGAATTTATAGTTGTAATGTAAAGACAATGAGCTCATTATTTTATGCTTTGTCTAATATAGAGTTCACTAAGATAAAGAATTGCTAGACAACTTAAAAATGGACAAGTGAAGTTAAAATGCCATAGCCTAATTTTTTACCTCAACCTTCAAAATATTTTCCAAGAAAATAAAAGTATGCATGTTTACAAGCTTTTCAAACTTTCTCCTGTTTAAACTAGACAAGACAAATCTCTAAAATTATTTAAAAAGTACTTTAAAGGTTATAATTGAAGAGAAATTGGCTAAAATTGAAACGATTAAGGATTAAAGACCACAATGCTAAATTGGCATGACTTGAGAGGTCTCATTAATTCTAACATGGGCTTAATTGAAGAAATTTTAGATTTTATAGCTATTTTTGGCTTCAATTGAAGATATTTAAAAATTCATAAACTATAACGAAAAAACAAAGAAATTGAGGGGCGTATTTAATTTTGGTCAAAGTGACATAACTAAAAGATTGATATCTTATTCCAAGTGTAGAAGTGTCAAAGTAATAAATAACCCAGCAAAATTAGAGTCGAACCACTAGAACAAATAATAATAATAAGAAGAAGAAGACGTTAAAGAGGACTTTAAAATGTAAGATTAATGTGAGGACTAACTAATGATAAAAACAAATATCAAGGTTAGAGGATTCATTAATAGTATTTCAAATAAATATAATATAAACTCCTTTTATTATTCAACTGGAAATCACACACAAAGAAGGTTTCAATCGGATGATTTGTCATTAATAACTCATTATAAATTATTACCATGATCATATTAATTATCTTATTTAATTAACACCAAACTTTTAAATATTGTCAGGAATTCATGATGTTACCTTATGTTAACAACAAATCAAGTTTCTTTCATAGTATAGGTGTAGGTTATACCATACGGTTGGCTATAAAAGTGCCAAGTATTTATTGTACTAAGTGTTATACAACACAAATCTAAATTAACTATTTAACAAGAAAGGTATTAAGAATTAATAAGATAAAAATGATAAGATATGTTATAACAAGTTGTTTAGGATATAAATATTGAAATCCATGTTGAGCTTATATTATACTTATTTTAACACTATTAGTGAAAGCTTTTTATCTTGACATAATGAACTTAGTTAAACATAATGAAGAAGAGAAACATAAATAAACAACATCAGAACATAAAAATAGTAAAGGAAGTAAAAAGTATAAACAAAAGATTAATGAAAGCAAAACTTAAGCATTAAAAAATATAAAGAAAGAGAGTAAGAACATAATTTTGATTTGAAAACCAAGATGCCTAAATGCATTGTAAATGCCTCCTTTTATAGGCCAAAATTTGGAACTATTGATTTGTTGACTAATTGTTAAGTGAGTGGCTACATCTTAACTTGATGACAATCATTATCTTCTTATCTAAATAAAACATAATTGCTAACATCAAAATTTAAGCATATAGTCTTTATGAAAGTTTTAGGAAATTATCTCAGCTTTTTAACAAAAAAAATCGGTGCATTTAGACTTTTAGAACTCGAGATATGCGCTAAACATTGAACATTGTCTAGGCTACAGGACAAATTCAGGCTTCTCCTTTGTTGCTATAATTTAAACTTGAAAATGACCTTTTTGAATCTTCGACTCTTATGAAAGTTTTGGATCTGTATCTTAGTTTTTTATTCATATAGAACAGACCTCAATTCAAGTTTTACAACTCTAGTTATAATCCAATAACAAAATGGTGTTCCAGTTTGGATTGAACTGACATCTCTTTTCTAAGTTTAGCCCTTTCTTTATCTTCTCAATTTCAGTAGTTAAACTCATTAATCAATCCATTGATTTATGTGATAGGCCTGTATTTAAGATGAGAATTTACCATAAATTAAATGTATCTTATATTATTAGATATGTTATTATAAAACATGTTCTAGCTAAGGAGTTATTGATACTTCAAGTGTAAAATAATGATATAAAATCTTGATAAAAATGCACTTTTAAGTGCTAATCACAAATACCTAATTGATATAATTTATTTGTTTGGTTTGAATTTTGTCTCTGACAGTACAATTAAAAGTTCAAGAGGATTAATAATGAAAAGACATTAAAATTTAAGGACGATTCTAAACTTTAACCACACTAGATGTTGTCGTTTTGAGCCCTTTATATAAATTCTTAGATGTTCTCTTCATATTTTTCTTTAAAGATAAACCCTAGTAACATATAAACAACCTTCCTCTCAGCCAAGTTCCCCCGCCACTCATCATTTTCACTGATTTGGGCATCATTCGACCCAATTGAGGTGTCAGTTTCACTAATTTTAGGGTTGTTTAGAGTTTGG